CCCGGGGAACTTTTGCAATATCAGAGGTCCATTTAAGCATACTGACATTAAATCCTATGAAGAACTTGTCTGCTAAGTAACTGCTAATCTCTTTGAATGGAAGTTGATAGAATGGGTAGAATTATTAATACATTAATAAAAGCAGGCATAAAGATATTACTGCTGTTTCCTGAGAGGGAAGAAGAATAGAGTTATTCTTGAAAAAATAGCGATCTGCAGTATTTTCCTAACATCTGAGAACAAGGTACACTTTGGACCAATGCAGTTGTACTCATGTACTAACATGGATAGTAACACCAGCCCCTTACTTACTCTAGTGACTCAAAACTTAAAACCCATCCCACCTCTGGCCTCAGCTGTGAGTGATGGTCCCCATCAGGTGCCTATTGTCTCTGCATGCAGGGCCAGCAGTCTGTGAGCTTTGGGGCCTGGAGTGGCCTCCCCTTGGCTTGCTTCTCAAAAGGTTCAGTTCATACAGCACTTCATTTCCGCAAGAATATGCTCTTAACACCCCCCTGATTTCACCACCTTGGCGGGAAATGGTTCTGCTAGACCCAGGTGAGGGCAGAAGACACCACACATAGGTTGCGGGGAAGGTGAATAAGCTGATCGCCCTGTACCCCGCACAGCTGGTTCTCAGGAAGGTGGCTTTTGAAGACCCGATTTTAAGTGAAAATGAGACATTGTATGTGGACAGAGGATTTGATTGGAGAAGGTCCCTGTGGTTGGGGTAGAAAACTTCATGCATGCTAGTTGGCAAGTCACTCCTTGGAAAGGGTCATGTTCAAGTCAAAGCCACAGACAAGACAAAGAATCATGGTTGAAAGTCAATATGAAGCTTAAGGAAAAACTTCTGGGAGAAAATAATTATTGGGACCTCCACTGGACAAATGCCACCAAGGCTGCCTCATGTTTGTTGTGATCACTGAGCTAACACACACAGAAGTCTAAAAAATAAATTCATTTTCCAAAAAACAAAAAAAATTAAAGACCTTAAAACCTTTGTCACGGGCTGGAGATGTGGCTCAAGAGGTAGCGCGCTCGCCTGGCATGCATGCGGCCCGGGTTCGATCCTCAGCACCACATACAAACAAAGATGTTGTGTCCGCCGAATACTAAAAAATAAATATTAAAAAAAAAACCTTCTCTCTCTCTCTTTAAAAAAAAATTAAAAAAAAAAACCTTTGTCACTAGACTCTCCACTTTCCCCTGTCTGTCATAGCTGAATAGACTCCAAAATTTACCTATTTTGCTTTCAAAACATCTCCTGCTTTGCTTTCTTGTTTTCATCTCGCTGCTAGCCACCTAAATTAGATCTCTTCTCCAGACCACCACAACAGACTCCCAGCTGACTTCCTCCCACAAATGGTCTCCCTGCTTAAGCCAGCAGTTTTCAAAGTGTAGAGTCTGCAAAGCTCTGGAAAAAGCTCAGGCATTCCGCCTTCTCTGAAGTTTTCAGTTTCATACACCAGGATTCCCCCCAAACACCACCAAGTTACAGTCACACTATCCACTTGACTCTTTCTCAAATACTCCAGGCACCTCGCCTCTTCCCTCCTCTCTGTCTAGATCATTCCTTGCTCCTTCCCCCTCCCCCTCTTACAATCCTGCTACCCTTTAAGAAAACAGCCCACACTCCATTCGTCTCTAAGCCTTCCCAAGCACACTGTCCTCTCCCCACGTAAAATGCCCATCGCACTTTATTACACTTGGCTTCACAGTCTGATTTTGCAAACTTCCTTTTTACCCAACCACACTGGAGCCTCCTGAGAACACGCACCATTTCTTGTAGAATTTCATGCCCTGGGTGTTAGTTACCCAGGTCAGTGTTTTGGACTAAACAATTGATTTTTTTTTTTAAATGGTGAATAATCATGATTTCTAAATTCAGAACCAGCATGTCAGACTGGTTATAGCTCTTCCCTAAAATGGGCTTTGCAGATGTTTTCATCCTCTCTCACAAAAAAATTCCTCACGTTTACCCCAAAGCCAACCAACCAAGCAACCAACAAAAATCCCCGGGGGTTAAAACCCAGTCTCACTCTTACTTCAGCCTAGGAATGAACATTTCACTTCATTGATTCATTCCACAAACGTTCACGAGTGGGACCTGTGTGTCAGAAACAGTGAACGAAATGGACAAAGGATCACAGGGTTGGTAATTGAAGCTGGCAAACAGAGAATGAACAACTTCAAAAACTGAAAGAGCTGTGACGTCCAGAAAGTGGCTAATGATGAAGCGACATCGACAGCAGGTGATGAAGGAAAAGGAAGTCCTCTCTGAAAAGGTGGTGTTTGAATTGGACCTCAGTGATGTAAAGATTGGGGGCAGATCATTTCCAAGTAGAGGAAACCCAGGTACAAAGGCTCTTGGGTGGGAACAACCCAGAAAGGAAGACCAGACCGTCAGATTGCTGGAGGGTAATGAATAAATGAGAAGCGCTTGACAAAGAAGCACCTTTAAAAAAAAAAAAAAAAATTATTGACAAAAATCTTATATATTTATGAGATGCAATGTGATTTTTCTTCTTTTCTTTTTTTATTTTTTTCTTAAGTAATAGTAGTGTCCTACCACTGAACTGCATCCCACGAGCTCTTCCATTTTTGAGAYAGGGTCTCRCTAAGTTACCCAGGTTGGYCTCAAACTTGCAATCCTCCTGCCTCAGCCTCCAGAGTAGCTGGGATTACAGGAGTGAGTCCACCATGATCATGATCGGCTACAATGTGATATTTTGATCATATATACATCGTTGGAACAAGCCAATCAAGCTAATTAACCTATCTCTTGCCCCACCCAATTCTCATTTCTTTGTGATGAGCCCATTTAAAATCTGCTCCTTTGGTGATTTTGAAATATACATAATTATTGAGTGTAGTCACCATATGCTGTGAAATCCATGACCACAGCTTGTCCCTCCTGTCTAAATAAAACTTTGCACTCGTTCATCCACATTTTCCCTTTCYCTTCCTGCCCCTTCACCTCTGGTAACCACCATTCTACTCTTTACCTTTATGAGTTCGAATTTTTTGATTCCACACAGAAATGAGACCTTGCAGCACTCATCTCTCTGTGCCTGGCTTATTTTACCTACCATAATATCCTCTAGTCTTATCCACATTATTGGGAGTGACAGGATTTTGTTCTTTTTAAGGTTGTACAGTGTCCCATTGTGTATATAAACCCCACTTTTTAAAATGATTGCTCCATTTTGGGGAATTTAGGGTGTTTCTATATCTTGGCTATTGTGGATGCTGCAGCAGTAGTGATGGGAGTACAGAGATCTCCTCCACACACTGATTCAATTCTTCTGAATTTATAATCCAAGGTGGGATTGCTGGGTCACAGGATAATTCTATTTTAGTTTTTCTGGAGGAACTTCCACACTGCGTTCCCTATGGCGGTACTAACTTACATCACCACCAGCTGTGAACAGGGCTTTTTTCCACATCTTCACCAACACTTGTTATCTTTCTTCTTTTTGACAACAGTCACCCTAACAGGTGGTAGCTGACATCTCCTTGTGGTTTTAGTCTATATTTCCTGAATTTGTATGTCTTATTTTAAGAAATGTCTATTCAGGCCTGTTGCCCATTTTTTTTTTTTTTAACAGGGTTTTCTTGCTATTGAGTAGTTGGAAGTTTCTTGCCTATTTTAAATATGAGCCCCTTATCTGATGAATGATTTGTAAACACTTTCTCCCAGTCTGTGAATTGTCTCTTTGCTCTGTTAATTATTTCCTTTGTTGTGGCAAAAGCTTCCTAGCTTGTTACAATCTATTTGTTTATTTGGGCTTTTGCTGCCTATATAATTGGAGGGTCGTCTGCAAGAAAATGTTGCCCAGACCAATGTTCTGTAGCTTTTCCTGTTTTCTTCGAGCAGTTCTACAGTTTCTTATCACACACCAAGTCTGTCATCCATCTGGAGCTGATTCTCGTGTAAGGGGTGAGATAAGGGCCCGGTTTCGTTCCTTTCCATGTAGATTGCCAGCTTTCTCAACACCATGGATTGGAGAAATTGTCCTTATCCCATTGTGTGTTTTGGCCCCCTGTGTCAAAACTCAATTGATCACAGATGTGTGGATTTACTTCTGGGCTCTCTAATCTATTCCAATGGTCATTGTGTCTATTATTCTTCCAGGACCATGTTGCTTTATTGACTATAGCTTGGTAATATAGTTTGAAGTCAGGTAGCTTAGTACCTCCAACTTTGTTCATTTTGCTCTACAATGCTTTGRCTATCAGGGTCTCTTTTGTAGTTCCATATRAATTTTAGGATAATTTTCTATTTCTTTTAAGAATGACACTGAAAATTTGATAAGGATTGCATTAAATCTGTAGATTGCTTTGGGTAACATGAACATGTAAACAGTATTGATTCTTCTGATCTATGAACATAGTATATCATTCCATTTGCTACCTTTAATTTCTTTGATTAATGTTTGATAGTTTTCAGTACATAAATCTTTCAATTTCTTAAGCAAATGAATCCCTAAGTTTGACTGACTGTCGGTTGGTTTTAGGCTACTCTATATGTGACTGGTTTCTGCCCACTCTCACCATTTCTATGCGGCATAGTCCTGGAAGCCCAGATGAGAACAATCAGTCAAGAAAATAAATAAATAGATGTATCCAAATAGGAAAAAAGTGTCTCRATTTAGTGACGATATAATTTATATAAAGCTTCCACCAAAAATCTGTTAGAATTGATAAACAAATTCAGGAAAATTGTARGTTATAGTATCGATATACAAAAATCAGTGGTATTTCTAAACAGCAACAAGGAACTATCTGAAAAAGAAATTAGGGAGTGTCTTGAGGCAAAAGGATGTCTTTAGTGTCTCRATGTGTTTTATAGACCTTGTCCCTCTTTTATTAATGCATAGGCTTTCCTCCCCTGAAAACATGTATAGGCCCAATTCTCTAAGGAAAGAATTCTCTTTTCAAAGGCAATGCCCAAAGGAGGTAGAAAATTAAGCAAGAAGAATAGAAAATGCACTTACCATAGGAAATAGCACATACTCTCGGAGGAAATCTTGAGAATCAAACTGATTATAATCTCCAAAATCAGCTGAGAAGAAGATGGGGGAGAGGGGAGTAGTTATTATGTGAAATTAAAGATGGAATAAAACACTGCAAACTTGTCACCATATTTATTCTTCCTACTGTATCCTTTTTCTGCACCACTATTAAATGAAAATAGTGCCAGGAGGTGCTTGATATAGTAACTACATTTACCTAACAACTCTAAATATCAGCACATGAGCACCACTGCACAATTTAAAATATATATATATAGTGAAAGCTATCCCTAAAAGGTTATTTAAATATTTAAAAACAAATCTATAGGCTGGGGTTGTGGCTCTRTGGTACAGCATTTGCCTAGCATGTGTGAGGCACTGGGTTTGATCCTCAGCACCTCATAAACATGTATGTATGCACATACATACAGAAATAAATAAAAGTTATTTTTAAAAAAGAAAGAACTATATTTATCTGTTAAATGTGCCTCAGTTCATATCTTTAGGCTATCTACCAAGGGGACTTTTTAAATCAAGGTTAATTTGGAGAACCACAGAGCTAAATGTATCTTCATCTGATCACGTATTTGCAGCTGGAAATTCCCACTGCAGATCACCCTTGGCAAGCAACCTCAGAAAATCTTTACGCCTCCTAAACAACTTTGCATGTTACAAGATGTCAGAAATTCTGTTCTGTCATGTTTTCATCTCTCAGTGGTATATTGGAGCACATGCAAAATGAACATGCACAGCCTATGCCATAAACATCAATATAGGAACGTATGTCTTGCTCCTTATCTCACTCACTTTCACAAAAACCAAACCTGCGTGAAATCTTGATCTCATGTAAAAGACTTAGCAGCCAATAGAAATGGACTCAGATATATTTAAGATTATATTTAACAACAGATGCAGAATAAAAGAATACACAGATATACAGAAGGTCAACACAACAAAGTTGCTGAAATACCAAAGAGCCATCGACAAATGTAGCACATGATCTGTTCTGCCTAYTTTGAAGGTCAATCATCAGTTATCACCTTCCTTCCCAACTTATATTTTGGATGATGCATCTTTCTAAAAACCCAGTAAGAATCCCCAGGATCTACTCACTCCTCCCTCTATTAAGGGTGCCTGCTCCATTATTTCAATGATGCTTCCACTGCTCCTACCATAACTGGCCATTCTTTCTTCCCCTTCCAGGCTCTATGTAGACAGGTGTAATACAACATATTTTGGGCATTTTCATCCAAAGAGTAATAACAGAAGCTAACTCTGTAGGAAATTTAYGTCTAACAGAAATGGCTATGCCACTGATATGAAAGAGGTCAGGGAAAGACCACTTTCTCTAGACATTTAGAAACCAAAAGGTTCAACTTCAGTTCAAAGTTTGGGAAGTTCAGTTCACGGCTTCTAAATCAACAGTCCACACAGCGAGAGCTTGGCTGCTGGCAGGGTTATACTTGGACACCAGCTGATTTTTAGGGAAAAGGAGGATTGAAAGGGAAATTAGTTCTCCTTTCAAAAATTGTATTTACCAGCTTCTTGTTTTCAATATGACTAAAAAAAATTAAACTACCACTAAATAGATAATATAATAAAATGTATTTTAAAAGAATTGACACATAACAATGTAGAGAAGGTAAAAAAAAWAGCTGTCTGATAAATCTAAATAAGATAGGTTGAAGATAAATTTATTCCAAGAGAAAGTTGGTTATTTCACATTAACAACTTGGATTTTAAGTTTCTCTCTTTAACTATATTAGAATAAATCATATGACAATGATTAAGGCTATTACACTGGAAGTTGCTGTGACAGTAACATAGTCCTTTAAGCCACAGAATACAACCACATTGTGCAGCAGAATGTCCCATCAACTTAAGACACAGCTTCAAAGCTACTATTTCTTGGAATAAAACTATAATGAAATAAGCAAGAGCAGTTTGCAAACAGTTTTGAGACAGAAACTGTCCTGCCATCAAAAATCACTAGCTCTTCTTCTTATTAACGTAATAAGAAATGAGAAGGGAGTATTAATGAGGGATCATTTAGGTCAGTGTATCTTTTCACACTAAGAAGACACCAACACCATAAATCCAACAGAAAATAGAATTTCACAYGCTGGTGGTGACTACATCTTACCTTGCACAGCTAAGCCAGCCAGTCGAATCACCTGTTCCAAGGTACACCGCAACCGGCCTTCAAGCACGTCTTTTTTRACTTGCAGGTAATACTGATATCTGTTCATGGGAAGAGAGGAACACACAAACTCAAAAACACATACTTGGAATGTATTCCCACAAAAGACGTCCCTGGATGCAAACTCTTGTGTACACAGCAGGATACGCAGGTGATGTTGACAAAAGTCATCTATAAAAGATGGAAAGTGACCTCAGCCTGTGTTTGTCTTTGTTTGATGTAGCAGGTGCCACATCCCATTTACTTTGAGATTGAGAACATTCTCATCAAATCACTTGCTTTTAGGCCAACAGGATAAACTAGTGATATGAACCAGTTCTTCAAAACAGAGACCAAGAATGAAAAAGCTCTCTACACCTGAACACACATGACACTGTGACAGCAGAAACATACTCAATACACTCAAAGTATGTATGCATTGCTGAAAATTCCAGAAACACATCAACTTTTTTTTTTTTTTTTTTTTTTTTTGCATAGTACTAGGGATTGAACACAAGGGCACTCTACCACTGAGCTACATCCCCAACCCTTTAATTTTTTTTTTTTTTTTTTTTTTTTNTTTTTTTTTTTTTTTTTTTTTTTTGAGACAAGGTCTTGCTAACTTGCCCAGGTTGACCACTAGTCATCTCTTAAATGCAAAATTTTGGTAGGGCAGATTACAAATAGGTCATATAATTTGGAATTCTGCTAAAGGATGGGATAAAGCTTTTCAGAGCCATACTTCACCTCCCAGGTCGGTRACTCATAAAAATCAATTTAAATGCAACTTTCCAAACTGAACTATATTCCCAAACAACAACAAAAGAAAAATACAGAGAGAATGTTCCCATACATGACACCAACCTCAGACCAGTAGCTAAAATAGTGTGTTGTTTTCTTGCCAATAAAATCACACATTTAGAATGACCTAAACATGTAGAAATCTCCTCACTCTTGATGGTCACGTCCCGGGACACCACTTAGCCTCTGACCACATTCCTACAACAGAGTCACCTCTCTAACACACCTTCCTGGCAAACACTCCTGGTAACTGTCACTCTCTCTTTCAAATGAACTGCAACATCTCAATCCAGAGAACTCAGAGATGACCCCAAAGCTCAGCTTTCCCAGAGACAGGCGATCACTGCTAAGACCTCATGATGGCTGGTTCTACCGGCAATATCACAGGAATTGTGACATATCAGCCTAATTGGGAGAAGGCCTGGGCTCTCTACACACCCCAGCCCAGCCCTCACTTCTTTGTGGTTGGGTCCACTGTACAGGGCAAAGGCAAACATGTCAGTCTTGGATAGGAAAAATCTAACCTAGACTCAAATCAGAAGGGTAAACACTGAGAATTATTTGAAAACCCTTCTTAATCAACTTAAGATAGAAAAAAAACTTTTACCCTGCCCTCATGCAGTCTTTCATCTGATTAATTCATAAACATTTTACAGGTTTCACTATCCAGTCAATAATTTTACCTCCTGCTCACATCATGTGACCATATAATGATGCATGTAACAAATGCTTCCACTGGCTTTTAGAGACCAGTTCCTCACAGATGTCAAAAAGCCACTTGTGGTGAGCTGGGGCCACTCACCACTCTTGAGTTCAGTGGATCTGGCTCTGCCCTGACCTCGTCATTACAGCCTTAGAATCCATGACTCCTCTAACCAGCTGAGTCCCAACAAAAAGAAAGAGTGCTTATGTATAAGAACTTCTGGTCAAAACTCTTTTACTRATAATCTCATTTCTGAATGTGCACAAACTAATAAGGATGACACATTATGTGGGACCATCTTTAAAATGCTGTGAAATCAAAGGCACTTTGTGTGGTATATGTATGTGTGAAAGAGCCAGAAGATTTGTAAAAGCTGTTTTGGGTAATATTATATGATGGGCAGGAAAAGCAAAGTCATGACCTGTCATTCTCTATTCTTCATAGGAGAAAATCAAAATWAAAAAAAAAATTTGAGAGCAGTGCCTATATATGAATTTAAAGAAACAATACAGGAGTAAATCATGATACTCAACACTAAAGCTTTCTGAATTGCTACAATAAAATATGCTACATAAATATCTTTTAGCTTCCTTTTTTCCCCATTTAGAATCAGGTCCCCAGCTCAGGCATAGTTTCAAGTACAGATGAACCCAAAGTAAGTTTACATTACGACCTTGTTTAAATAAAAGATTCATGCAATATGGCTAATTAATGATAGCATTAGTTCATCTTCTGGGAGGTAGCTCTATAAAAATGGGGAAAATAAGGGCTCTGGAAGATGGCTTCTCATACCACAGAGCCTGTTTCTTGTTTGTGTTCTGCACCTTCTCTTTGAGGTTTTTCTTCAGCACCTTCTGTCTTCTTGTTCACCATCCCCAGCCTGGTTCCTGCTTTTCCTCTGACACGCTTCTTGGGTCTCTGGGCCACTTCTCAAGGGAATGATGAAAGGTCCACTCATTCGTGCAAGGTAACCTTCTCTTCAAGAGACTCTGGGAACTGCCCAGGAGTCTTTTATGGAAGACCTTTCATGTTTGTAACTTAGTTCTTAGAAAGGAGAAACCTAAGCAAGTAAGAGGGTCCCTAAGTTATCAAAACCTCTTTTAAGTGCCAAGAGCTCATTCTTAAAGCAGACCCATCTTTGAAGACGAGCCACTTAGATTCTGAAGACCCTACTTTCAAAACTGGGGGAACAAGAACAAGAGAGATGCAAGGAAGAGTGTTAACTTCACCCTATTTCCGGAGTGTCCTGCTCCAACTTTCTTCAGTGAAGTTAAAAGATATGGAAGAGAAAAAAAAAAAGCAAACCAGCAAATTGTATACTCACACGTACCCGTGTACACACACAAATCCAAAAGCAAAGACTCAGGATAGAAAGAAAGAGCAAAGCCTACTCAAGAAACAACAGTGAGATTCTCAAAGCAAAGCAAACCAGAAGGCAAATCTCAAGGTAGGAAACGATGATAAAAGTTGACCTGTTCCTATTAATCATACCCTGTTCTCTTCCATGTGCTATCTATCCCTTTCCATCTTGAGTGGTTTCACTAATTTTCTGCTCTTCCAGACAGAAGACAGATAGACAGTAACATGCTCTTATTAAGCACTCTCTGTGCTTAGGTCTGCAGGATACTGTGCTTGCCCTGGAGAGAGCTAAGACAGGACGCCCTGGCCTCTCTGGCCACTGCCGCCATGTTTCTCCAGTACACTACCTAAGGGTTCAATGTTCAAGAACCAAGGAATAAAACATTTGAGAAGTTATCCTAGCATCACCTACCTTTTTAACATGGTAACTTGGAGTCAAAAATGATCCCCAAAGATATATATGTGTGTGTGTGTGTGTGTGTGTGTGTGTGTGTGTGTGTGTGTGTGTCTCAGTTGACTCCCTTGGGAATAAACACCAACCAATTAATCCACAGGATCCAAAAACAACCATTTCCATTTTTCTTAGCCTCCTGCTCCCAACTCTCACCCCCAACACATGAGCAAGTTCTATTAAAAATTCATCCTATCTAAGGATACAGTGAATCAGGATCCCTGGCAAGTAGTGCTAGAACATTCTGGTCACGTAGGTTGGATGTAGTCTTGTGCTGGGATATAAAACCCTGGAGCTGAGGAAAGCAGTAGTCTATCTTGGAAGCTATCCAGCCAAGAGAATCTGCACACCAGTAATGATATGGTGCCATTACCACATGAGACTGTGGTTATTGCTATGTAAGATTGCAGAAACGAGAAAGAGATTTGGACCACATGGGAAACTGCTTGGTTGGTACTCTTCTGCACAGAAGTGTTTTTGCAAAATATAAAAATTGTATCCTGTTTGAAGACTGGAGAGTATCAGCTGAAATTTTTATTTTTAGAGTGCTTGAGTTCTGCTTATTTTTGATGAGAGATTCAATTACAACAGCAGTAAAATGCAACCGTGAATCCTATTTTGGAAACATGCAATTTCATGGAAGTATACTCCACCCTGTCACAGCTCTGGGTGGAGGGAGGGAAAAGGGGGAGAGAAAAAAAAATAAAAAACAATCCTCATGCCAGGAAAGTAAGTGTGTGCCAACTTTCCAAAGAGATCCTCTTTGAAAATCTAAGTTCACAAGGAACGCTTTTTAATATTTTTCATATTCAAAGACCTAGAAATAGTCTATCTCACAATTCAGGCCCAGTGATTACTTTTAGGTTAGGACTCTGCTCTCCCGTAAGAACTAGTGAACATAACTATGCTTGTTGAAATGAAGAAAACAAAATTCTCATTTCAAATTATTTTTGTTTTGCTTTTAATCTAAAGATTCATGTGCTGATTAAATGCAGGTTTCTCTGGGTGAAGCATAAAAGGGTTCCTGATAATCAGTGTTACCAAACATCACAACTGGAAGCTGAATGATGCTATGAACTAGCCTCTGGACGCTGCATCTATCTGGAATGTTTGTACCCCAACATAAGAAAATAAGACACTTTTCCAAGTTCCTTCCTCCTCTAAAAATTTGAAAAGAAAAAAAAATTAAATGCCATATTGGGTCAAATTAACAGAGCATTCAGTACTTCTATCAGAGATATCAAAGAACTCTTTCCAAGTCACACCCCACAGCGTTATTGTCAACATTTGGAGATGCATCACTAAGATCTCTAATCTCTCCTTTTAATTCATGTACAAAGAATTAATCTCAGCACTGATACAACTGTGTTCTACCTGCAGGTCTGTTCGTTCTTCTGAGATTGAGAAATCCTTGGTGGTATTCTGCAAAGTAGAGACTGCACTACCACAGAACCACAAATAAGACACTAGGGACTCAGAGGCTGAGTATGTGATGCTTTGAAAATATGTTTCCCACCCTTCCCACAAGCGAAAGCTTCATTCCAAGTCCAGATCAGCAGAATTGCCCCCAGCAGGAAAGAGCCATGTAAATAGCAAAGCTTTAGGATCTGATTTTGGTCCTACTTCCACCCAAGGATGCAACATCCTCAGACTGGCAGAGATAGGAGGGGCAGTAGACTTCTAGCACTGCTCCAAACGTTTGCTGGGAGGACCCCCCTCAACAGGGTCATCTATGCCAACCCTGTTTC